CAGTATAACAACTATTTACATAGTATTTACACTGCATTTTTTTTCTTTGAGATAGAGTCTCTCTCTGTTGCCCAGGCTGCTGTGCAGTGGTGTGATCTTTTCTCACTGCAACCTCTGCCTCCCAGGTTCAAATGATCCTCCTGCCTTAGGCTCCCAAGTAGCTGAGATTACAGGTGTGCCCCACCACACTTGGCTAATTTTTGTATTGTAGTAGAGACAGGATTTCATCATGTTGGCCAAGCTGGTCTCCAACTCTTGACCTCAAGTGATCCACCTGCCTCAGCCTCCTAAAGTGCTGGAATTACAGGTGTGAGCTACCATGCCTGGCTTGCATTAGGTTTTATAAGTAACCTACAGAAGACTAAGTACACAGGAGGATGTGCATAGGCTATATGCAAATGCTATGCCATTTGCCATTTTATGTAAGGGACTGGAGCATCTGCAGATTTTGTTATTCCTGGGGATCCTGGAACCAATCCCTGCCCAGATACTGAGGGACAACTGTAAGTAGAAAAACAGGCTTTAGACTATCTCCTGAAATGACTCCTGGAGCAACATGGTAGAGCTGATCATCAGGGTAATCACCCATGAGCTCGTCTCTGAAATTACTCTAGAGAGCAGGAAACCAGACTAGGAAGTTGGTGATACTGTTGGTACCATCACTGCACCACTTGACTATCTCTTGATGTTCACAAAATTGGTGATTTCGCACTGGAACATGGACCTTCAAACTTAAGAATCACAAGAATAGACTCTAGAACACAGCTGCTAAAAGACTCTCATGAGCTTGCTTGCAAGAAAAAGTCACCAAAAAAGAAGTAGGAAGATGGCTTTTGCTTCATTTTTTCCCCTTCAGATCTTTCAAGAACAAATCTTATAGATGAAACGTAATTATATCCAGCACGTAGCTGTGAGGAAGTCTAGCAAATGTAGTTTTTTGCTTTCCTGCTCCTTCAAACAAGGAGGAAGCTGGAACAGAAATTGAGCAAGCCAATCCACATTTGCCACAGCAAACTTATTGTGTTCATTCAAAATATTGGCAACAGGCCAGAACCGTGTGGCACACCACTAGAAATGCTTGCCAGATGGATATCATTACTCATTATATCATTACTAATGCTTGCCAGATGGATATCATTACTAAACTTAATATTCAAGTAAGTTTCCTAGGGTCATAGTTGTAATTGGCAGAGGTAAGACTTAAACCCAGGTCTGACCAGAATGCTATATTGCCTTTCAATTTGATCAGTAGCTCAGAATCCATCTACTCTTATTTCTGCCTCCCCTAAACCCCGAAGCTATGAAGGGGTATTTTTCTAGGAGCCTCTCCTGATTTACCAATCCCAATGAAAAACAGATGCAGATTGCCATTCCTAGGGCATGCAGGGCGTCCATTGATGGTTTTAGCAATCATTATGTGACTCTAACATTCCCCACTCCTGCTTAAAACCTTCTAGCAACTATGTTGGCTAGAATTTGGATTTGTGTTGAGTGATAGAAGACTCAAAATAAGTGTGAATTAAACCAGAAAGAAATTTATTTCTCTCATGTAAAACACATCGAGAGGTAAGCAGTTGGGACTAGTTGGGCAGCAGATTCCCTCCCAAAGTTATCAGGCCTTGAGCTCCTTGTAACTTGTTGCTTCATCATCCTCAGCATGCGGCTTTACCATGAAGTCCGAGAGAGGTGCCTGAGTTCTAGCCATCACATTTGCATTCCATTTGGGAGGGAGGAAGGACAAAAACACTGCAAAGAAGTAGCACCCATACCTTCTGGTTACATCTCTTTAGTTGAGCAATTGAACTGCAAGGGAAGTTAGCAGATACAGCCTTTTCGTCAGATGGCTGTGTGCCCAGCTAAAAATCAAGGACTTTAACAGTAAGGAAGAAGGGGAGAATGCATGCTAGTGGCAAATATTTGCCTCTGCTATAGTAACCTCATTGCATCCTGCAAAGACATTCACTGTGTCTTTTTCATTATATTGCAAAATTTCAAAATGACAGGTGTCTCCTTTAGCACCTTGTACAGAGACTGACATATTTTAGGCACTTTATCATCTGTTCAAAAAAAAGTCCCATTTTTATTTTCTGATGAAATTTTAAGTGATTTAAACATAAATATGATTAGGGTATACCTCTATGAAATGTGCTTGAAAAGCTGTGTGGAAAACAAAATTTTGTATTTAAATCTTAGTTCTCCTAATTCATCAGGGTATTTTCATGGATAGAAGGGAGGGAAAAGGATTCAAGTAATTTGGAGGAAAGTTACAAACTACAGGTAAATCTAAAAGCACCAAAAATGAAAAAGAATTGTTGAGATAAAAGGATGGGAGGTTAAAAAGAAATAAAGAGGCCGGGCGCGGTGGCTCAAGCCTGTAATCCCAGCACTTTGGGAGGCCGAGGCGGGTGGATCACGAGGTCAAGAGATCGAGACCATCCTGGTCAACATGGTGAAACCCCGTCTCTA